ATTAATATGTCCAAAAGTGAATAATTTTTCAATTTACAATAATTTTAAAAGTTTTTTTTTGTTTGGTTTTGAAAATACTATCTTAGTATACATAAAAATTGTATTTTTTTTATTTTAAGCATTTTATCCAATATTCCATTAATATTGATGATTAGGATTAATTCTTATTAATCTTTTCCTAAGGAGAAAATAATCTATGTAAAATAAAATATAAAAATATAGACCCCGAGGTGTCAAGTTTAATTATTAGTAATAAAAATAAATCATTTTTCATAATATATTTCTAACATTATTTAAGAGATTCATTTTCTAATACATACAAGATTTTACGAAACCAATCCTGTCTTATAAAGGCCCAACTCTCGATTGAGTGTCCTTATAAAGTTTCTGCGTATAACCATACTGATATTCAAACTGTCAAATATCTGGTCTAATCGGATTTAAATGGCTTTCTGACAAAATTATCACAAAGTTTGTAGGCGGTAATGCGAAGAAGATATTAAAAATTATTCTTTGGAATCGATCACCACCTAAAGGAATTATGTACAGGGTAATAATCGAAAAGAAAAATTATTTTATAAAATATAAGTAAAAAGGCGATTTTTTAATTTACTATTTTTTTAATTCTAATATTCTAGACCAGTATTTCTCAAACTTTTTTGACGACGCAACCCTTTTGAAAAGCGAAATATTTGACAGAGCTCTAATTTTCTTTGCAACCCTAACGCATTTCTAAAAAAAAGGTCCTTAAGCAACAGATCCTTTCTTAATAAAATCTAAAAAGAAAAGTCCTTAAACCAGGTCCTTCCTCTTGTAACAGCGAACTTGCTGATAATATTTTTTTTATTATGACTATCATTTTCGCAGAGCGCCCACAGAGGCTTTGTAAAGCCGCGGAGCACACTTTGAGAAACACTTATCTAGACCATCTTGACAGTTGAGATTGTCACCGGCATGTCATCTCTCGCAAATTTTCATGTTCTTTTATAAAAAAAAATTAGTTTTCATTTTCTTTTATAGGGAAAAACTTGATGTTCGTTGATTGTTTTTTGAGTTTTAAGAAATTAATCATGAATAACATGCGAGAGATGTCGGTGACAATCTCCAGCAAGTGGCCACCTTTTCGGGCTTTCACCAGCGGATCTCTGGCGAATCACTGGCGATCGACTACGCATACGGGTGCTAGTGTATCACCCTCTCTAACGTCAATTAACTCCGCCAGACAACAGCACACCTGAGTTAGTTAATGAAACAGTGGATAATGAATTACATAATGAATTTTATTTAAAGTGCTTCAGTTCAAACATAATTTTATTACTGAGGCCCTTCCTATGGGGCTTCAGTATTGCATTCGTGCAGATGAAAAAATTTTCTTACCCCTTCTTTTTAGGATGTTTCTGATCATTCTGAGTTCAAAAATGCAAAGTCTTTTCATCTGTGCGTATGTGTGCTAGCACGATAACTCTAGAAAGAAAGAATTTCTTAAATATTTTTTTTATCTTAGGACCCTATTGATTTTCAGAAATTTCGGTCAACCTAACCACATTAATATCAATGTTCTAAAGAATCTCATGCATTTAATAATGGACTTATTTTACGCATTCCAATATAGTAAAGTCAGGATAATGCTCGACCATTCCTGTCAACTGTAAAACCACAAATATTTTTTCCACATAAATGTCAAATTATTTATGAAATGTTTGAACGGCAATTAAAAGACTGTCATTATTTAACCTAAAAAAATAACTTGTTTAAGAACTGTTTATTTTCAATTAAATAGCTTTTGGTACCTAAATAGTCAAAAGCATAAAGTGTTATCACTGTAACATTTGTTTCGTTACCATTTTTCAAACATTAAATTGCTATATGTAAATGGACTTTCCAAACAAGTGTGGAAAATGTGTTCTAGATAGAATGTAAAAAATTGCTCATAAATCAAACGTTATTTTCAAATTTTAAACCCAAACTTAAGATAGCAAATCAACTAAATGTATTTATAAGCTATTTAATTTATACTGTAATGCCACTGGTAATTTTTAATTCTGTAAAATTTTTGTTTTTCTAATAATTTTGTTAAACCAAATGTTAATACTTCGAATACATACACCTACACATTATTACAAACAAAAAGATGGGTTTTGTCCATGATCATTTTAAAGTGTTTATGTCCCTAAATGTTTTTTTAAATTTTAAAATACTGGGACTGCACCAGAAGATGAAATTTTATTCCGAAACATATATAGTGCTGAATTAATGAAAATATAATCCACCGATCATACTAAATATAAAACAATATTTTAAATTGGGTGTAGGAAATCCTTCTGCTGAAACAAAGTTACTGTAACTATAGTATAATTTATTTATAGTTTATTTATTTAAAACACATTATTTACATTTTTTTGTGACGTACTATTTAATTTAGATAATACTTAGAAACTAACTAACAATTTTAATTTATTTATTACACTTTAACTTTTCATTACAACGTTCTATATTAAACTGTCTATATACAACTGACTTCCGTCTTCACACTCGCGATATTTATATCAAGCCAACTCTGTAACCAAAATATTCGAGACGGTGTGGAATGTCCTAGACTTCCATCTCTATGACTCAACGTCACGTACCTACCGCTTGTTCTGGTACATTCGAGAGGCGTCTAATTGTCTCTACATTGCCAGCGCGCCGCTAGACTCCATATCGCGGAAGTAAACAACGGACAGGGTAGGCTTTGGCGCGACATTACAAATTCCTTGTTTTATGAATAGACTTAATAATCTTTACTTTTCTTATCTTACCTGCAAAAAAAAACATTTAAAATTCAAATGACTTAAAGGATGTCTCAAAAAAATATACCATCTGAGAAGAAGACCAAAGACATTCTGATATACAATGTGAAATTTATTGGAACAATTATAAATCCTATCTACACAAAAACAGGAGATTGATTAGAACCATTATTATTATTATTATAGTAAAAGCTGGTACCATTGCATTTTCTTGGACTTCTACATACATTAGATAAGCTGTTCCCAACAAGTTTACACTTTCTACTGTTGAATAGGACATTTTGTTAGTGGGGACAAAATTCGTATAGTAATGATCCTTGTTTGTTTGATTTTAAAGCACTTGTCTGCAAACGTATTCCATAATATACTTCATAACTCTGCTACATTTTACCTGAAAAAAAAAAACCTTTATTTAATTAGAAAATCCATACAAACAACTAATGGTAATCTTGTAGTTTAATTGAGAAAAAAAAAGAAATAAAATAAACCTACACATTATTTTTTGTACCTGCCAAAATTCTGCATTTTTCATAAGCTCTTTAACTACATATTTTTCAGTTCCTCCTAAATATGTCTTGTAGGTAGGTAATAATAGGTATGCATAATGTCATTTCTAACAAATAGAAATCACATACTTATTTATCTAATTTTTTCATAAAATTGAAATACCTACTATTTACTTTCTTTTATCTCATTATAATAGATATATAATTTCCTAATCACAGTTTCTTATAAAACAATGAAAAAATATGAAATTAAAACTCTAAACTCGAAATGTAAACAAATATTTTATTATTTTAAATTTTGTTTTGCCAGGGTGACATTCACTGACATTTAGTCGCTGCTCTGGTGGTTCTCTTGGTTCTCTTCCCATCATACTGGTGAGACCTGCGATATGAGACGAAATAGCGAAAAAATAAAATTACAGCTAAAGTACAATTATTAATAAAGAACTGAATAAGCACAAGTTAGTGTCATCTTTATTCGTTGGTTATCTAAAACTTTGATCTTAGTGCATTCATAACAAAGTTTTAACATGTTTTTCTTGAAATGATAAGACAAATTCAAATGTACCGCTAAAATGATATCTAGTTACTTTTTTAGTTATTTTTCCCTGTGTAAATAGGACTTTTCAATTCGCGCCTCCTAGTTTAAAAAAAGAGTATAGTAATTATCGTTTTTTATTTTGATGTGCTTACGCCCCCCACGCAAAGTTATCGATCCCCCCTAGGGGTCGCGTCCCGCACGTTAAGAAACGTTAAACTACTTCGAACCCGATCGCGAATAAGTAACTCTTTGTGAAATAATGAACCTTTTTATCTTCTTAGACAATATTTAAAAATGCTTTTTAAATTTTTAAACAAATATGGCGGAGGTTTAATTTTTTAATAGCTATTGAATTATTGGTGGATACGCTTTGTGACCTAGATTTTAAAATATCAATATAAATTATATATTAGGACCATATATTTTTTATGAATTTATTTGTCCCAGTACTTAATGGTATTTTAATATTCATTATGAAATTGGCCCTGGAGATTAACTAAATTAAATTTGACCTAAATTAGTTAACCCTTGAGTGCATACGTCTGTTTTGGTATATACTCCGTATTAAGGGTTAAATTTAATCCTAAATAAAAACAGATTTTTATGAGTGAGAGAAAAATATTTTAGCTTAAAATTAATAATATACTAATTGATTTAAATTATTTATGCATCTTTCTATATTGTCTTTATTACCGTCAACTGGGGTGAAGTCGGACAATATTTTGCGGTTTTTTTATGATACTGCAATCAATTTTACCTCCAAAATTATCCAAAAATTCATTAAGTTAGATCTGGGCACTACTAACGATATGGGCTATTTATAGTTTGCAAAAAAATCAAGAACATATTTTTTTTTGTGAAAAATGAGTGTCCCACTTTCCCCGCAAAATGGGGTGAAGTTGGAACTGGCTTTAAATGTACATAAAACCAACTACCGAAGTCTATATAAGCAAAATTGGACAAGAAAAAGCATTTTTAAAAAATATAACACTAATTTAAACACTTAAAAAAATAAAAATGCTGTTAAGAGTACAAATATTTTATTCTAAATGAAACAAAACTTGAAAATATTTTTTTTTTCTAAAACAAGTTAACAAAGAGCAAACTACAAAAGAAAGGAACTTAAAAAAAGTTTAGATCTTGATTGAAGCGCCTAAGAAGCGCCTACCCTATAAAATCATAATTGAGATCTTCTCGGAACTGGATGCGATTTCTTCTCAAGTCAATGGGATTTCTTAACAAAATCTTGATATCTTCGTTGTAAACTATTGATCTATCGGGAACATCTGGATAAACAAAGTAGTAATATTTACTCCTGCATACCTTTTTAGAAAATTTCTTTCTTAGGAAGTTTATAGTACAAAAGTCCCCATGGATATCTTCAATTTTTCCAACAAAGTTTAAATTTCTTTTATTGGCCTCGAACTTAACAACAACAAATTGGTCCTTTTGAAACACAGTATTATTAGGAACAGAAGATTTTACAGCCCTATTTTTATTGAGAGCATCACTGTTATTTTCGTCATCACCACTACTTTCAGCATTATTGTTTACTGAAACTTGATCTGAGTCCACGTCCTCTTCTGATTTAGCATCATTGTTTGTTGGAACTTGATCTAAGTCCTCGTTCTCGTCTGATTCAGAAATTGATTGGAAAATATTTTATGAAAAACTATGATGGTTTAGGATTCTATCACAAGGCTCAAAGAGGATTTTTTTTAGAGTTTAGTTTTAGAAAAAAAGAAGATGTAACCCTCTTGACTGAAAAAAAAAATAATAACAATAATAATATAGGTATTTTTTTTATAAATAGTTATATTTTAGCCATTTTAGATAATAATGAGTTGAAAAAATGCAATTGTTATAAAATTATCGCTTTATTTTAACACAAACTATAACCTCTGAACTAAATGAATATTTCTTTTAGACTTAACAGTTATAATATTTATAAGTAAAAAAATTACAAACACTTAAGCTAAGCATAGGTATCCTACAAATTTTTGTAAAAATTTTAGTAGTACATGGGTACAAATTGTTTTTTTATTTCTACAAGGGAAACATTTACACAAACTATAACTTCTAAACTAAATGAACATTGCAGTGTTTTAATTACTAAATAACAGTTATAATAATTTATAAAAAACATAAAAAATTAAACTTAAGCTATAGATATCCTACAAATTTTTGTAAAAATTCAAGTAGTACAAGGGATCTATAAGGGATAGCAATCCTTTTTTCTTTGCATCGCTTATACCAACTTTTTTGCAGAAGCTTCCTTTAAAATCATATTTTTTACGTATATTTTACGTCTTGCATTTATTATTAACACTTTTACATACCCTTAGTTGTTTTCCATCAACCATAGAATGATAGGAGTTGTTTGGTTTTCTAGGTTTTTGTTTATTCGAATATTTGTAAAGCGGTGTTACAGGTTTTAGATATAAGAAATAAATTCTCTTTGTTTTTCTAGGTCTTTTAAACCCCAGTATTCACAAAATATTTTGATTCTCTGTGGATCATTTTATGCCTCTGAACATTTTAGTTTGCATTTAATTCCACAGAGTGGAAAAAGTGTCTTTGCTGGACAAATAATTTTTGATTTGGTTTTAGTACCATCTGTACTTTTCACGATACCTATAGACAAATAAGCTTCTCCACTATTTTGCAAGCTCCTTGCATTAGTCTTTTGCCATGTCGAAGTATGTGTCAGTCTTTTCCGACCAATTTTTTCGTTGTTTGAATGGTATTTAACCTTCATCTTTGCACCTCTAATATTTGTAGGTATTTCAGCTAGCATTTCAGTTATTGGTATTTTGGGTGGATTATAAGAAGGATCTACAACACTGTCATCTGATCCATGAGGATCACTTTTACAGTCTAAGTTATCTGAACATGAATCACTGCTTAAACTACTATCTCAAAACGAATCATTGCTTAAACTGAAGATGAAGTACTGTTTGAACTGGAACCTGAAGACGACTTACTGTTTAATGTTACTAAAGTATTTTCATCGACTTTTTATTGAGGTGCAACGTTTTCTAAAAACAATAAATATTTCATATTAAGCATTTTGAATTTTTAATTTTTGGTACCTTTTAAACTTTCTACTATATTCTTATTGACTTCCATACCATCAAGGCGTAATATGGAAACATTACAAGTTGGTTACAAGTTTACATCATACACATTCACACTTAATTCGGAATGTATTCGCTCCGTGCGAAGTCATGGAAAGGGAAGCAAAAGCGATACTAGCGCTAGCTGCGGATAATTCGTGCATTTTAGGGGGATATTTTGTAATTTTGGCATATCAAATACACGTATACATTTTACTTTTTTTCAAAAAAGTAGGTAAAAACAACACAATAAGCAACCGGAGTTGCTGTGTTGAAAATTGTACAAATACTAGCAAAAAAAAACAGTGAAACTAATATAACAAATTTCACTAACAAAGTGGAAATTAAATCAAAGAAATAAATGGATAGGTGTACAATAAGAAGACAAATTACCTTTATTTTTGTGATAATAACAGTAATGCTGGAAATAGTAGACATCAGAAACTAGAAAGTTTTTAAATAAACAATAAATTATCATTTTACGATGTTCTTTAATATCCCTTTATTCTTAAATGTTTATTCAGCAAGGACTAGATTTCAAGATTTCTGCCGTTGATTATAATATTTGGCTGGTATGCAATTTTGTGACTTACTGATCGGAAACCAGTTTTAATCATTCATTATCTATGTTTTCTTTAGAACAAAAATGAAAATATAAGTAGCGATCCTTTTTATACATTTTAACTTCACGCTATTATAAATGGTTTCTTCAATGACAACTTATTAGACTTAGGCAACTTCTCATACATTTTCCAGTAAATACTGTTGCCTGCCTATATTTTATTATTGATTTTTAATGATTATACATAATTTTCTTCAATTTAAGCGTGAAAAATATATAATAATAATAAATGAATGTTTTAATTGTTTTATAAATCCATATACTTTTATTAAAACTAACATATATACTTTTTATTTACGAATTCTATTAAAAATTGTATTTGTCAGTATAGGCAGAAATACTCCTTTAATACCAAAACAAATTGGCGCTGCTGTCGCGCACGGAGCGAATAGCCTCGAGCAGATTTGCATCCACTTTTTCTGGTTTGGCAGATTTGGATGCTTACAAAAAGATAATTTAGGTTATTTACAACCGGTTACAACTTCTACTTCTCGGCTTTATTTGCCGCCCTGAAATATTTACTTATACTTTCCGCCCTTATTTACCACCCAAATTTGTTGCTTATTTAAATCATGAATTCCGAATTGTTTTGTTTCTGTTTCTTAAAATAATTTTTTTTTTCTTATTTTCTTCCCCCTTCTCCCTCTCCATATACGGAAAGAATTATTTGATAACCTATTCATTGCTACTTTATTTTCTACCTAAGGTTATTTGTGCACAGTTTGTGATTATTCAATTATCTAGCTAAGGTTATGAGAGCATCTACTTGTTGCTATTTGCATCCACTTTTTCTGGTTGGGCAGATTTGGATGCTTACAAAAAGATAATTTAGGTTATTAACAACCGGTTACAACTTCTACTTCTCGGATTTATTTGCCGCCCTGAAATATTTACTTATACTTTCCGCCCTTACTTACCACCCAGATTTCCCACCCTCTAAGATTTGAACCGATCTTTTTCCTTAGTTAAAAAAAAACTGTTATAAATAAAATAGTAATTAGAATGCAAACTTCGGTGGAAAGTTTCATTACTCTTTCCACCTCGGTGCGTGTAATATTGTTTTTCTACGATCGCTATCCAAAGTAGGTATTTGCGCTTCGAAATACAACCGTAAAGTTGACGTTTTCCGCGAACTGCCAATAATTGACAGATTTGTCGCTCGCTGAGCAAAAAACTTGACAGCTTCGTTACACGCCTAATTTAAATTAGATATAATAATATTTATTTTTAATAAATGCTTTCTAAGTTATTTGTACGTAGTTTGATGTTTTTTGTATTATTATCCAAGTTATCATTAACTTTGAATATCAATTATTTTTTATTATTAACGTAGCTACATATTACATATTATTTTTTAAAATAATGTGATCGTAGAAAAAATCTTGTGTGCATTTTGAGTGAAACGTAAGTAAAAAGTGGAAAGCGGCAAAATATCACTTTTCACTCTTTATATACAAATAGCTATTTATCATTCTTTCTTACCCAATAATTCGTTTTCGCTTTCAATATTTTCGAGTATACCATGAATTTCGGAGGTGCCAACATGTTCATTTTATGTGACTGAACTGCTTCATCGTCTCTAATAAAATCATTATCGTTTTGGGTGTTGTCAAGTGTTTTTAGATTCGCAAAAATACGATTTGTCCGAGAGTTGTATGACATAATTTTTGATTTTGAGATCTAATAACATAAAGGACTAATTAAAATTAATTAAATAAAAATTATTTAAAAACAAGTTATGATATAAATGTAACAAAATTATTTTGGAGAATAGAGTTACATCACGAACAAAATAATACAAGAAACTACTTATTGAATAAATTTTAAAAATACATTAGTTTAAATACAGTTACAAATAAAAATATCACTATTTTAACACAAACACAACAATTTTCATTTAAACTATTGTGATGTTTGTTTATTTTAAACAACAGTTTATTTGTAAATAATTTATTTAAACACTAATTTATTTTAAACAATACTATTCTAATTTATATATATTTCGAATGTCTTTAAACTTATCACTATTTATATTAACCACTGTCTATCTACTAATTACTATTTATCTTCACTGTCCATATAATAACTAACTTTTGTTGGTCCTCCACCAATATTTATATACAAATTGGTGGTCTAGAATACTCCTCCACCAAAATATCCAGAATGTACCAGAAACGTTATCACGTCATATTTGGAATAGACTAGAAATAGTATCCCGTTAACTCTGGAATGTTCGCGAAAGTGTCTCCACCATAGTCGTCACATAGGTTTGGTCATAAAGGGTTTAATTATGTATAATAATCAGACAAGTTGAGCCTGAAAGGCCAAATAAGACAGAGAGGGACTTGGAGGGTTAGAGCATGACTGAATAATGAAATGGCTCACATAAAATTGCCCCCTCCTTAAGAGATAGTTTCTCCTGGAACTCTAACGAAACTAAACTGGAATGGTTGTATCTGCAACTGAATCCTCTTTTACAATTTCCACTTGCACGGAAGTAACAAAAGACTGACTTCGCTGTAACCTGGGTACTGGGCGAATGGCTGCAGACCAGTAGGTATTTGGACTCCGGTATTTCGAAAGATTACTTCCACCATGTTCCTAATGATCCTCCATTCTAAATAATTTCCTTCTATCTTCGGCATGGCTAGTTTCTGTACATTGGACTCCCGTACGTGCTCCCTTAGACTAAGTAATGCTTCCCATACATCTTGATAGGTATATCGATCTCGGAAGATGTTCTTCGTTATTAAATAAAAAAGATAACGCGACCCATCTTGAAGTTTTAAGGCTTCTCCAGGGACTTGTAACTGATATTGAAGTTCTACCAGTCGATCAAACTTCTTACGGAACATATATGCCATTCCTCGCGCGTCGTTGATGCTGACGGAAGTACTATGGACTAGCAAATAGTCTTTTGGAAGCGAGAGCAGATCTTGTTGTTGTTCGGTCGTAACACCATATCTGGCTTCTCCAGTACCTCCATATGCACCCATAAATTCTTCAAAGACAGGGTCAGGTGTTTCTAGAAGTTGGTTTACTTCTTTTTTATGGTCACCCTCAAACGGCGCCAACCTATTTTGATGAACTACCTTTGGTTTACCGTTTGGGATCTTACTTATACGGTAAATTACATCATTTATTTTATTCTTTATGAGGTACGGACCTTCCCAAGACCTTTGAAGCTTCGGAGAATAACCCTTTTGTCTTTTTGGGTTATGGAGCCAGACTTTTTCGCCTTCCTTGAAACATCCCTCCGTAGCTTGAGTATCGTACCGTTTCTTCATCCTATCGCTGGCGATTTGGAGATACGAGCGAACTAATTCATGCATGTCATCCTTTCTTCTTCGTAACTGGATCACATAATCTTCACCAGCTACATCTTCTCCAGGTCGGCATCCAAACTCGAGGTCGCACGGTAGTCTCATCTCACGCCCAAACAAGACCTTTGCTGGTGTTTGGCCTGTTGATTCATTGACAGCGGATCTATAAGCCATTGCAAAGAGCGAAAGATACTGATCCCATACTCGCTGATGGGTGGAAACCACTTTTGACAGATATTTGTCAATGGTCTTATTCATTCGCTCTACCATTTAATCGGATTGTGGGTGCAATGTTGTGGTTCTGGTTTTCTTCATGCCTAGTCTGTCACAGATTCCACGGAAAAGTTGACTTTCAAAATTTCTGCCTTGGTCACTGTGGATCTCCAAGGGCACTCCAAATCGACAGATAAACTCTTTTATTAATACATTTGTAACAGTTGCGGCCTCTTGATTTGGAATGGCATAGACTTCCACCCATTTTGTAAAATAATCCATAACCACCAAAATGTATTTATTACCATCCTCTGTCGCGGGGAATGTTCCAGCAATATCTAAGGCGATTCTCTCAAATGGGCTACCAACATTGTATTGCTTCATGGGAGCCTTCCTTTTTTGTTGAGGTCCATTACTCATAGCACAGGTGGTACATTTCTTACACCAGTTTTTTACATTATCGGAACTGTTCATCCAGTAAAATCTTTTCCGAACTTTTTGAAGGGTTTTCCTAACACCAAGATGTCCTCCTGATGGACTGTCGTGTAACTGACGGAGTACTTCAGCTAATCTACTTCTTGGAATGACCAACTGTCTTCTGTTTTCATAATCATTTTCAAGTAATCGCTTTAATAAGCCGTCTTCCAGGATAAAAGAGTCCCACTAAGCCCAATACGATTTAATTACTGGAGAGAATTTCGATACTTCTTGCCAAGTAGGTCGACGATTTTCCACTTTTCCTTCTCGTATCTTCTTTAAGACGGGGTCATTCTCTTGTTCTTCCCTAAGTTTGACAGGGGCCCACTTATCGCTGACAACCGACGTTCTTCATACTGTAACTTCTTTAACAGATGTGGCCAACCCCTTTCCAATCAGAGTTCCTTGACCAAAACATTTATTGCGCTTCGAAGATTCCGCCATGACAGACGTTGCCTTCTCTACAGTTTTTTGCAACCGCCTTACTCGTATGGTTTCACTACTTTCAGGTAACACCGTTCCTTCCTGTACAGCCACCGGTACGGTTTTTTGATTTGTAGTGTTCTTTGGACGTTTGCGCGAACTGCTTACTTTTCCCATTTCACCGCAATTCCAGCACCTAATAGTCTTCGGTTGCTTCTCAATAAGGCTTTTTATCATGTGAAACAATTGGTCCAATGTATTTCCCTGTTGTTCTTCTTTTACAGTCCTTTCTTCTCTGTATCCACCAGAAGCCAGCGTACCAGCGTGGCCGCTTCATATTCAAGAGCAGCAGATAAGACATCGACCAATGTTTTGTGACGGGCTAAACGAAGTGTTCTTTGCATTTCATGGTCACGAAGTCCATCTACAAATGCTTGAATAGCCAAACATTCGATCATGTTTTCTGGAGCTGACGGGTAGGCAAATCGCACCATCTTCGCAATATCTAATTCAAATTTTTGAAGGCTCTCGCCACGTTTCTGTTTGCGATTCTTCAACTGTAATCTGTATACCTGCTCCAAGTGTTCGTGGCCATATCGCATATTTAGTCTCTCTTTGAGTTGTTCAAAATCATCTGTCTCTTTCACGGGTATAGTCTGAAGGACATCCAAAGCGTCTCCTCGAAGAGCGATGGTAAAATTTATTGCCTTCTCTCGTTCAGAGCACTAGTTTGCTCTGACAGCTGTTTTGAACTGCTTAAGGTAGTTTGTCCATGACATCTTCCCGTCAAAAGTTGGGGCTTAAACACGAGGAGAGTTTACAGTTCCTTCCAATTTCAATTTCGACTCCACCTCATGGCACTTTATTTCACCGTTCTTGTTTTGGTCTACGTGTTCCATTTCTTCTATCTTCTTTTCCATTTGTTTTATTTTCTCCTCAACGGAAGTCATCTTATTTTCCACATCAGCAAAAATTTCGTTTTTTAAAGAAGACATATCAGAAGAAATTTAATCTTTTAAAGTAGACATTTCAAAAGACACCTTTTCTTCTTAGGAAGAAATATTGGACGAAAATTGGTTTTCCATAGAAGACATTTTGTTTTTCAAGTCGGAAGAAATTTCGGTTTTTAAAGAAAATATGTCAGACGAAACTTTACTTTCTAAGGAGGAAATATCTGAAGAAACTTTAGTTTCTAATGAAGAGATTTCGTTTTTCACGGAAGAAACATCAGAAGACACCTTTTCTTCTAAGGAAGAAATGTCTGAAGAAACTTTATTTTCCAAAGAAGAAATGTCAGAAGAAATATCGGTTTTATTGGAAGAAATTTAACTTTCCAAAGAAGAAATTATAGAAGACGCATCATCGGAAAATAGATAAGTTTCCGGATCCAAACCTTTACTTTCCAGTGCTTCCTTAAGACGTTCTGTCAGCTCTGCTTTCTTCCCTGTCGTCTTCAGATCACGATCTTCTAATTCTCGATGCAATTCAGCCTCTTTAAAATCACATAGTTTTTTAGCCATGATTGTCCACTATTTATTTACACTATTCCACTTCTCGACACCAATGTGATGTTTGTTTATTTTAAACAACAGTTTATTTTTAAATAATTTATTTAAACACTTATTTATTTTAAACAATACCATTCTAATTTATATATATTTCGAATGTCTTTAAACTGATCACTATTTATTTATATTCACCACTGTCTATCTGCTAATTACTATTTATCTTCACTGTCCATATAATAACTAACTTTTGTTGGTCCTCCACCAATATTTATATACAAATTGGTGGTCTAGAATGCTCCTCCACCAAAATATCCAGAATGTACCAGAAACGTTATCACGTTATATTTGGAATAGACTAGAAATAGTATCCCGTTGACTCTGGAATGTTCGCGAAAGTGTCTCCACCATAGTCTTCACATAGGTTTGGTCTTAAAGGGTTTAATTATGTACAATAATCAGACAAGTTGAGCCTCAAAGGCCAAATAAGACGGAGAGGGACTTTGAGGGTTAGAGCATGACTGAATAATGAAATGGCTCACATAACACTATTTATGAAAAAAGGTTATATTTCGACTTATAACTGTAATGATTAAAAATAAATCTTTAAAAGTTAACTTATCTATAAAGAAAGAAAGTTTGAAAGGTAATATGATAAAATGTAACCTTATTCATAAAAACTAGCGAACTTCACAACTATAACGTGAGTTACAAACTGAAATATAATTGTTTTTACCTGAATCGACTTGAACAATTGCAGAAAGCCAGACAGTTGCATCTGTCATCTCAGCAAACGGCCGAACTAGGTACATAATGTAACCTTTTACTAGATAAAAGTAGACTTATTTTTTGAATTATTACCGCAATAAAATAAAAAATTGAAAATTTTGACATGTAACCTTCTTCCAAATGATTTTAAATGATTGGTGTTAGACGTAAATCTTAAAAGTATTTTTTTTAATTAATTTAGACTCAGTTGAATTAAAAGGATAGTTTTATAGAATTATTTTTGATAAAAGGGTTGAAATTTCAGGCAGTGAACCAAACCTAGGCCACACAGAAACAAACACAAACCGACCGATATTTACGCTTGCTTATATGGGGCGCCCAACGGTTTTGTACATTTTTAAAGTTTTTTTGCAAATATCTAGCGTTTAAAAGTAAAAGAGTAGTATAATAAAAGTAAAATAACTTTAATTAGTAAATATACGGAATAAAATATAAATTTTCTAGTGAAACACATACCTAATTTAATTAAAAAAATACAATGTGTACCTATTATATTTAGTAAGTTACCATATTCAATTCTACGATCATGTTAAAAAATGTGAAAATTTATTTTAGAAAGTGAATATAGTAATGAAAAACTTAATAGACACTATAATAATAAACCTAAAAAAAAAGATAATGATATCAGTAGTTATAGTGAAGACAGCGACTTTTAAAGATAGTTCTTGAACTTTTTATTTTTTTAATATTTGATTTTAGGTACTTTTAATGCCAAGAGATTAAAAATGTTTTATTCAATTAACAACATTTAATCTTTCCTATTATTCAAAGGTTAAATTTAATTTGTTTAATGTTGAAACGCAGCAATTTTGTAAGAAGCATAAGTTTAGTTTTTGTTTTTGTAAATAATATAACGTTTGTCATTTAAAATTAAATCTACGAAGTTCGTGTATACCATTCTGTATACCGTAAATTTATTATATAATAAAAACTTTTTTTGCATAGTACGACTATGAAATTTAATATCGCCACTTTTACTGCACTACTCTTTTATTCAGACTATAGCAAAATCAAGCCTTCGATTCTGCTTTACCTGCGACAGAGTGAATACCAAGTTAATACTAAATTGCGTTTGGATATGCCGAAAAATAATTGTCACAGTATACACTGTTGCAATTTACAACAGTAACTAGTCATTGTAATCATGAATCGGTCGCAGCTACCGACCGCTAAATGGCAACGACTACATTAATTTCTCTCCTGTACATGTGAGCGGCAGTTTCTATTAGGGATGCCCAAATTTTTTAAAACATCGATGTTGACATCAAATACAGACTATCGATGTTTGTTTTTCCATACATCCATGTGTCTGTAAACATCGTTGTTTTCCAAAAGCATTCCTTGAAGAGCTAAAGAGCAAAAAAAAGGAATTCAAACCATCAATTGAAACGTGACGCTTAACAGAAAAACCAAAAAACATTGAAAAGAAAATCATCGATGTTAAGAAAAATTGATGTTGACAAATAACATCGGATAAAAAAAACTCGATGTTAACTAATAACATCGGAATAAAAAAAACCGATTTTCAAAATCGATAATCTAAACCTAAAAATCGATGTTTTTTAAACATCGATACATCGTGCGCATCTCTAGCTACTATTAAGTTTGACTCAGGCAAAGCGTAACAGACGGTTTTATCTTGCCAGCACTGTAAAAAATAATAATTGTAATAGGAAGCTGGGAAAATGATTGTAACCTAAGCTATATTCACTTTTTTTGTTTATCAAGATACATTTTCATCAAAGAAATAAGCTAACTAGACCTACATAATAATGTATTCAAAATAAAAAAAAACCATATCTTTTTTATACCAATAATAAAAAAAATAGATTGCTGCAATTACCCCTGCTGTTCACATCTTCATCATTTCCTTCAGCGTCATTATCTTCCTCATCACCTTAACTTAATTCCTTTGCTTTCCATAGGTAACTTCGGTCTCTTGCAAACTTTTTCTTCGATATCTTGCATTCTTCTTCGATATTTTTTGGACGTTATTTTGTTAAGAGATTTTCATTCTTAAATCAGAATGTCAGTCATCACCTGAAGTTGTTGTATCTGTATTGCCGTCATTCCTCGTGGATAACGTCCCAGAGACAGGTCACATTGATTTTACTTAAGCCGTTTTTCCAGATTAGTTTTAGGATTATGTAATGGGCTGCTGATAATTAGTTATAATTAACATTTTTGTAAATGAATTATATTTTATTTTATGCCAAACATTTACTTACCTTAAAAAACAAATAATCAGATGAGACTATTGTTTTCTTAGTCGTGAATTTAGGCTTTTCTAATAGATACCTTAAGGGAATTATTTTTCAAGATAGAAGGGCGCCATTACCTCTCTTTTTTATTTTTAAAAAAGCTAGTTGAGAATTATAAATGCTAACTTTACCAAAAGGATAAAATTTACTGACTAATTCAGAATTATGTATATATAATTTCAGTAAAAAGGGAACTGTTGTAACCATTAAAAATTAGATTGAACAAGAATATAAATAAATTTGATTATTTTAAAATTGTGAAAATGCAATAGACGTTTACAAAAATAAATATACCAAAGTTTACATGGTCATCGAAATTCACATAAAAATAAGCGATCTCATATGCTGGTAAAAACACTTAATATTATCAGAATTAGATATTATACTCTGTCTTGGATCATCATACGCCAATTTTAGGATTTGGTCTCGGCGATCTAATTAGTGATAATTATTAAACACTGACCCTGTTTAATCTCCTGTGGTAGTAGTTCCCAGGAGACTCCAAATTTGACCCAACGAGCGAATCTCTTGATTACAAGATATATCTATATAGATATATTTCTGAAGGAAAACATAGGTGGCCTACAAAAATAAATTCTGTTTTTCACGATGCCCTTATTTGAGATATAAATCAGACTTTTAAATAATTATATTTAAAAATTTCCAACACTTAAAAAAATTAATTAATACATTTAAAATTTTCAACAAATAGAAAAATATAATATTATTAACAATATGAAATTCCAGCAACACAAAAGAAAATACTAAACACATATTAAATAATTCTAAATTGATTTTCAAAAATTAAACCTATAACGAAATGAAAAGTAGCAATATATATTCTACTTAGATTTTTCAATGATATTAATAACTCACCGCTAATTACAGCCCAGACACTTGTATTAAATTTAACGATTTAAGCATAAATGGGTGATTTAGAAAAGATTTAAACCCATCAACTGACCAAATAAATCTCCCACTTTGCAAAATTTCCCTTTCTCAGCAATGTTGCGTGCGGCGACAATTAAACTTTAAATTATTTTAAAACCAATTCAATCCATTTATACAGGATGTCACCCATTCAAATAACATTTTTAAAAGGAAAGTTTTAACAAGTTTGAAAGACTTCTGTCAGTATATGTTGTTATTACTCTTTTTGGCAGCCGTTAACTGATCTATCTGCAAAATGTAAAAGTTTGCATTATCCCAGTTTGATTAGTCATGATTACCCCCAAAAAACCGCATTTTACAATAAAATTAAATATCTAAATATGTGATAAGTTAATTTTAACAACGCTAACTGATTACAAAAGAAACAATTGTTTTAGCAATACTTGAATCTTAACAATTTTATCCATTGCACAAAATCATTATTTCTTGTTAAAAATGCAAAACTATTATGGTCCGCCAGTTGTAAGAGCCTTACGAGCTGCCGGTTTAAACTTCGTCTGGTAGTTTGACTACGCTTTAGTAAACAAACAGCATCAATAGGCTTCGGTTTAAAAACGGGATAACGTGAAATATGATTGTGTTTTCATTAACGCGAAGGCCATTATTCCTTCAGTCTTCCCTATTAAAAAACGATTAGCTCGAAGCCATAGTTTACGAAATTAATAGTAAAATTTCGGAAATCGATGGAAAATTGGATTTTTGCGCTCTCGTCTATTTTAAATTTTAGGACTTCGCAAACCTGTTAGACCGTAATTTACAGTCAACGGTTTTTTTAATTGTTGGCACGTTTCAATATATACTTGTACCTCTCAGATTAACTTCTATTTGATATTATTTCGTCGATAAATCCAATGGACTTTGAAATCACTATACCTGTTAAAGGTTTAGATTCAACGCCCCGCGTCAAACATCTACTTTAATAAAGAAAATCAATATGACGTAAAATTCCGGTCCGCCATAAGTTATTGTTACACGTACCTTGCGGTAATACGCTTCCCCGAGGATTAGTATCCTGACGAAAGTATATGTTTTCGGGGTAATTCCCCGTATACGGGGTCAATTAACCAACAACTATTACCACTAAGGATGTCGTGCATATATCCTTTCATATTACCTACAAAATGTATCACCGGCAAACTATCATAATCCTTGGAGGCACCAAAATGCGTGCCGCGCCTGTCATACACGAAATTAATAGAAAATGATGGTACTGGTGGTTTTGTTGTATGAATTATTTTATGTATTCCCATTCTGTTAAATATCGTTTTTTTTTTATATTGTTATCATATCAATAACAAATTATTTTATTAGGTTTTGAAACTGACTGACATTGGTTACCAAATAATGATACCATCGAGCTGCAGATGCTTTTCGCACATTACTTAACGTATCAGGGAGTCAATTCTAGAAATATTCGTTCAGCGAGCGTAACCCGTTCATGACGTCATGAACGAGGATTTCTTATTAGTGCAATTTTCGAATCAATTTTAGTGAACGCTTCCGTTCATATTAATCGCTCGTATGTTTGTTCGACAAAGAGTGATCGGGAGACGTCGTTCAACGTTCAACAGTTCAACGAGTTTCGTTCAGCTTCAGTACGTGTAAACATAACCTTATTTTAAATACTTTTATTAATTATAAAATATCGTAAAATACCTAATTTGGATGAAATTGTTAAGAACTTAGTTACCTAGGTGGAATTATTGGTTGTAGAAGGAAATTGAAGAGAATTTTATGAAAGGTTGAATCCTTTCTTGACCTTTGGAATTGTTTATAAAATATTTTCGCCAGTGAGGAATATTATTTAAGAT